TGGTGTTTGTAGTCAGTTTGTAGTCCGTTTGTTCATTGGTTCCCCTTGATTAGTCTCCCCAGGTGTGTCTTATCTTGTTAGCCCCCTGTGTGTATATATAGCCTTAGTTTTTCTTTAGTTCCTTGTGAGTTGTCGTATCTAATGGTTGTCTGTTTGCCAGTCATTCTGTTCTTTGTTCCCTTTGGTTTTTGGCTTGTTTGTTCTAGTTTTTCCATCAAATACCAGCACATAAATCCTTGCCTCGATCATTTTCCCCAACTTCTCCACAACATTACAGTTTTTCACTGGCACGTCTCTTTGACTAGTACATTTTTGAGCCTATATTTAGTATAAGTAAAATACTTAAGTACTGTTAAAATCAGATACTCTAAGACTTTTACTCAAGTTGTTTTGGAATTGGTGACTTGTAACGTGTAGAGGAATAATTTTCACTGTAAGGTATCTGTACTTTTACTCAAGTATGGTTTTTAGGTACTCTTTACACCTCTGTTACTGTCTTATGTATGAAGGGTACAAAACAACCAGAAATGTACACAAATTATGAGACACAACACTCAGTGACTGGTTTTACAGATTTTATTGTTATACAAAGACAAAACAAGTCTATAAAGTTAGTGTGTACTGCCCAAAAGACATAGTAAATTGATTTAATTAAAAATGTCTAATCTTTACAAAACCAGATTTACATTCTGAAGACACCGAAGCGTGTTTTCTGTGTAGGAGCATTGAGAGCAGCACTCAGACTCACGCCTAGGACCAGTCGAGTGTCGGCAGGGTCAATGATCCCATCATCCCACAATCTTTAGTAGAAGTGCAAAAAAAGTGAAGATTAGACATTACACTGGGAGGGAAGTAATAGGAAAAACTTGTTCATATGACACACTCTACCGTTCAAAAGTTTGGGGCCAGTTAAGTTTTTTTTTTTTTTTTAAAGAAATAACTCCGCAAGGATGCATTGAATTGATCAAAAGTGACAGTAAAATATTTAAAAAAGTTATAAAAGTTTTCGATTTGAAATCAATGCTATTCTTTTAAACCTTCCATTCATCAAAGATTCCTGAAAAAAAAAAATCACGGTTTAAAAATAGCAGCACAACTGTTTTCAATATTAATAATATATTGTAAGAAATATTTCTTTTAGCAGTAAATCAGCATATTAGAATGATTTCTAAAGGATTATGTGACACTTAAGAAAATTAATCTTTGCCATCACAGGAATAAATAAGTTTACAATATAAATGAATATAATATGGGAAAAAAAACACTTATGTATCCGCAAGGATGCATTGAATTGATCAAAAGTGACAGTAAAATATTTTAAAAAGTTATAAAAGTTTTCGATTTGAAATCAATGCTATTCTTTTAAACCTTCCATTCATCAAAGATTCCTGAAAAAAAAAAAATCACGGTTTAAAAATAGCAGCACAACTGTTTTCAATATTAATAATATATTGTAAGAAATATTTCTTTTAGCAGTAAATCAGCATATTAGAATGATTTCTAAAGGATTATGTGACACTTAAGAAAATTAATCTTTGCCATCACAGGAATAAATAAGTTTACAATATAAATGAATATAATATGGGAAAAAAAACACTTATGTATAAAATATAAATATTGGCAAAGATTAGAGACTTCTTTCAAAAACATAAAAAAAAGAGCCCAAAATTTAAAAACAAAAGTGTATTACACATTAAAGCCAAAAAAAAAAAATCCACATATCATGGGCATTTCATGTAATACACAATTTAAACATACAGTACATATAAATATCTAACTAGTTACCTGGCACTGGAATAATATGGGTTTCCTTCCTCCTCAAAGCGTTTGATAATTGGCTCTTTCATTGCAGCTTCCTGCTCTACAGTAAACTGGAAAATTAACCAAAAATGTTACAAGTTAGTTGAAAAATAAACAGTAAAAAAAAAAATCAAACAATTTCCCAAGCCCTAGATTTCAATTCGTACCTCTTTTCCTTCCCTGGCTTTTTGATCCTTAGTTATGGTGGCCAGCACTGTGGCTGCCTGCTCCCCTCCCATCACAGAGATCCGGGAATTAGGCCACATGTACAGGAACCTGGGGCTGTGAGGTGCACACACAGATTTTTGAATGAGGTAGTTATTATGTGTTGTTTAGTCAACTGGACACCTTGAGCATGTTTTTAGTGTTGTACCTTTGAGTAGCCAAGTTCATTTATTATAAAGCTTACCCATATGCTCTGCCGCACAGTTGTCTGTTTGCCAGTCATTCTGTTCTTTGTTCCCTTTGGTTTTTGGCTTGTTTGTTCTAGTTTTTCCATCAAATACCAGCACATAAATCCTTGCCTCGATCATTTTCCCCAACTTCTCCACAACATTACAGTTTTTCACTGGCACGTCTCTTTGACTAGTACATTTTTGAGCCTATATTTAGTATAAGTAAAATACTTAAGTACTGTTAAAATCAGATACTCTAAGACTTTTACTCAAGTTGTTTTGGAATTGGTGACTTGTAACGTGTAGAGGAATAATTTTCACTGTAAGGTATCTGTACTTTTACTCAAGTATGGTTTTTAGGTACTCTTTACACCTCTGTTACTGTCTTATGTATGAAGGGTACAAAACAACCAGAAATGTACACAAATTATGAGACACAACACTCAGTGACTGGTTTTACAGATTTTATTGTTATACAAAGACAAAACAAGTCTATAAAGTTAGTGTGTACTGCCCAAAAGACATAGTAAATTGATTTAATTAAAAATGTCTAATCTTTACAAAACCAGATTTACATTCTGAAGACACCGAAGCGTGTTTTCTGTGTAGGAGCATTGAGAGCAGCACTCAGACTCACGCCTAGGACCAGTCGAGTGTCGGCAGGGTCAATGATCCCATCATCCCACAATCTTTAGTAGAAGTGCAAAAAAAGTGAAGATTAGACATTACACTGGGAGGGAAGTAATAGGAAAAACTTGTTCATATGACACACTCTACCGTTCAAAAGTTTGGGGCCAGTTAAGTTTTTTTTTTTTTTTTAAAGAAATAACTCCGCAAGGATGCATTGAATTGATCAAAAGTGACAGTAAAATATTTTAAAAAGTTATAAAAGTTTTCGATTTGAAATCAATGCTATTCTTTTAAACCTTCCATTCATCAAAGATTCCTGAAAAAAAAAAAATCACGGTTTAAAAATAGCAGCACAACTGTTTTCAATATTAATAATATATTGTAAGAAATATTTCTTTTAGCAGTAAATCAGCATATTAGAATGATTTCTAAAGGATTATGTGACACTTAAGAAAATTAATCTTTGCCATCACAGGAATAAATAAGTTTACAATATAAATGAATATAATATGGGGAAAAAAACACTTATGTATAAAATATAAATATTGGCAAAGATTAGAGACTTCTTTCAAAAACATAAAAAAAAGAGCCCAAAATTTAAAAACAAAAGTGTATTACACATTAAAGCCACAAAAAAAAAATCCACATATCATGGGCATTTCATGTAATACACAATTTAAACATACAGTACATATAAATATCTAACTAGTTACCTGGCACTGGAATAATATGGGTTTCCTTCCTCCTCAAAGCGTTTGATAATTGGCTCTTTCATTGCAGCTTCCTGCTCTACAGTAAACTGGAAAATTAACCAAAAATGTTACAAGTTAGTTGAAAAATAAACTGTAAAAAAAAAAAATCGAACAATTTCCCAAGCCCTAGATTTCAATTCGTACCTCTTTTCCTTCCCTGGCTTTTTGATCCTTAGTTATGGTGGCCAGCACTGTGGCTGCCTGCTCCCCTCCCATCACAGAGATCCGGGAATTAGGCCACATGTACAGGAACCTGGGGCTGTGAGGTGCACACACAGATTTTTGAATGAGGTAGTTATTATGTGTTGTTTAGTCAACTGGACACCTTGAGCATGTTTTTAGTGTTGTACCTTTGAGTAGCCAAGTTCATTTATTATAAAGCTTACCCATATGCTCTGCCGCACATGCCATAGTTCCCCGCACCATACGATCCTCCAATGATGACAGTAATCTTAGGCACATTGGCACAGGCCACAGCGGTCACCATTTTAGCTCCATCTTTAGCAATACCTCCAGCCTCATACTCCCTGCCAACCATGAAGCCTGATAAAAAGAGACAGCCACATCATGACGTTAATGGCAGCAGCAATTTCACTAGTTACACATGTATGATTCTATGCTGACTCAATCAGTATCAGCACTGTTTTGTAACACTAAATGTATACATTCAGATGAAGCATGCATACCTGTAATATTTTGAAGAAAGAGCAGCGGAATGTTTCTCTGACAGCAAAGCTCAATGAAATGAGTTCCCTATAAAATACATTTTTTTTAAATTCTTAAAATGTTTCCAGAGATTTTTTAGCAATCATTTAAAAGTATACACTTTCACTGTATGGAAAAAAGCTTCATGGAAGATGCTACCAACCAATAATTTTGGTTTAAAAGTAGATTATGAATTTTCATTTTTATGTGTATTATCTAACTGAAGCACAATGCGTTATTAGTGCCACATTAAAAAATCAAAGATTACAAGATTAAAGTCGTAATATTTTGAGAATAAAGCCAAAATTATGAGAATAAAGTTGTAGCAATATGATAATGAATATTTTGAGAAAACAGTAAAACATTATGAGAATATATTCAAAGCAATACGAGAATAGTCTAAATATTTTGAGAATACAGTCAAAATTACGAGAATAAAGTCGAAATATTTTGAGAATAGTCAGAATTACGAGAATAAAGTCGAAATATTTTGAGAATAGTCAGAATTACGAGAATAAAGTCTAAATATTTTGAGAATAGTCAAAATTACAAGAATAAAGTAGAAATATTTTGAGAATAGTCACAATTACGAGAATAAACATATTAGAATGATTTCTAAAGGATTATGTGACACTTAAGAAAATTAATCTTTGCCATCACAGGAATAAATAAGTTTACAATATAAATGAATATAATATGGGGAAAAAAACACTTATGTATAAAATATAAATATTGGCAAAGATTAGAGACTTCTTTCAAAAACATAAAAAAAAGAGCCCAAAATTTAAAAACAAAAGTGTATTACACATTAAAGCCACAAAAAAAAAATCCACATATCATGGGCATTTCATGTAATACACAATTTAAACATACAGTACATATAAATATCTAACTAGTTACCTGGCACTGGAATAATATGGGTTTCCTTCCTCCTCAAAGCGTTTGATAATTGGCTCTTTCATTGCAGCTTCCTGCTCTACAGTAAACTGGAAAATTAACCAAAAATGTTACAAGTTAGTTGAAAAATAAACAGTAAAAAAAAAAATCAAACAATTTCCCAAGCCCTAGATTTCAATTCGTACCTCTTTTCCTTCCCTGGCTTTTTGATCCTTAGTTATGGTGGCCAGCACTGTGGCTGCCTGCTCCCCTCCCATCACAGAGATCCGGGAATTAGGCCACATGTACAGGAACCTGGGGCTGTGAGGTGCACACACAGATTTTTGAATGAGGTAGTTATTATGTGTTGTTTAGTCAACTGGACACCTTGAGCATGTTTTTAGTGTTGTACCTTTGAGTAGCCAAGTTCATTTATTATAAAGCTTACCCATATGCTCTGCCGCACATGCCATAGTTCCCCGCACCATACGATCCTCCAATGATGACAGTAATCTTAGGCACATTGGCACAGGCCACAGCGGTCACCATTTTAGCTCCATCTTTAGCAATACCTCCAGCCTCATACTCCCTGCCAACCATGAAGCCTGATAAAAAGAGACAGCCACATCATGACGTTAATGGCAGCAGCAATTTCACTAGTTACACATGTATGATTCTATGCTGACTCAATCAGTATCAGCACTGTTTTGTAACACTAAATGTATACATTCAGATGAAGCATGCATACCTGTAATATTTTGAAGAAAGAGCAGCGGAATGTTTCTCTGACAGCAAAGCTCAATGAAATGAGTTCCCTATAAAATACATTTTTTTTAAATTCTTAAAATGTTTCCAGAGATTTTTTAGCAATCATTTAAAAGTATACACTTTCACTGTATGGAAAAAAGCTTCATGGAAGATGCTACCAATAATTTTGGTTTAAAAGTAGATTATGAATTTTCATTTTTATGTGTATTATCTAACTGAAGCACAATGCGTTATTAGTGCCACATTAAGAAATCAAAGATTACAAGATTAAAGTCGTAATATTTTGAGAATAAAGCCAAAATTATGAGAATAAAGTTGTAGCAATATGATAATGAATATTTTGAGAAAACAGTAAAACATTATGAGAATATATTCAAAGCAATACGAGAATAGTCTAAATATTTTGAGAATACAGTCAAAATTACGAGAATAAAGTCAAAATATTTTGAGAATAGTCAGAATTACGAGAATAAAGTCGAAATATTTTGAGAATAGTCAGAATTACGAGAATAAAGTCTAAATATTTTGAGAATAGTCAAAATTACAAGAATAAAGTAGAAATATTTTGAGAATAGTCACAATTACGAGAATAAAGTTTAAATATTTTGAGAATAGTCACAATTACGAGAATAAAGTCTAAATATTTTGAGAATAGTCAAAATTACGAGAATAAAGTCGAAATATTTTGAGAATAGTAATAGCAATATGATAATGAATATCATGAGAATATATTCATAGCAATACGAGAAGTCAAAATATTTTCAGAAGTCAAAATTACGAAAATAAAGAAGAAATATTTTGAGAATAGTCAAAATTACGAAAATAAAGAAATATTTTGAGAACTCAAAATTACGAGAATAAAGTCAAAATATTTTGAGAATAGTAATAGCAAAATGATAATGAATATTATGTTTGAGTTTTATTATGTTTAGTTTGAGAATATTCAAAATGACCAGAATAAAGTCGAAATATTTTGAGAAGTGTCAAAATTACGAGAATAAAGTTGAAATATTTTGAGAAAGTTGAAATTAAAGTTGACTTTATTCTCGCAATTTTGTCTTTTTTCTCAAAATATTACAACTTTAATCTTGTAATTTTAGATTTTTCTTATTATTAATGTGCCACTAAAACACTTTCGTAGAAAGTAGATTGTAACTTTAGGTTTAGTTTTTTATTGTAGTAAAATATAATGTGTTAGTAATTCCAGAAGTTTTAAATACCTTAAATACCATAAAGACGGGTCAATATTGCTATGTTCCATTGTGTGACACTTCCTTAATATAAAATTTTGTACTAAATTTAAATTCTCAATATTTCTTTACAATGTGCTGCACTGGAAGTTGACTGATTAACTTGAAGCATTAAAGGTCAGACAGATGCTCGCCTTCTTTGCAGATTCTGAAAACAGCACACCATTATTGCCAATAATTCCCACAGGATAACCAAATATCCGTGCGAAACCTTGAAAGCAAATGAAGAAAGTCAGAAATCATTTTTGAAATTCAAATACAAAAAGATGTTTATTGAAAAACAGCACCTGTGACGAGTGTGTCTCCATAGAAGGCCTTGAATTCATCGAATTTACTGCCATCAACAATACGAGCGATAACCTGAAATTGAGAATTACTTCTGTCTGTTGAGGCAACATTTCAAAAGGCTTGTATTCCAGTGATCAAACTGTGGCCATTACCTCTCGAATGTCAAAGTTGCGTTTGAGGTTGTCCCCCACAATACCATAAAGCTCATCGGCAGGAAACAGAGGAGCCTCGGGAGTTTCAACAGTGACCTAAGGAGCAGTGGACGAGATAAAGAAGATCAGCATCAAGTCATGAAGCATCTTTGAGAAGACAAGAGCAGTTGTGTCCTCACATCAAGATTCTTCTTGTAGTTCAGGCTTCGTACGGCTTTGCGTGCAAGATGAAGAGCGTGATTATCATCCAGGGCATAATGATCAGTTACACCCGACTTTCTGAGAGGAGAAAAATTTTGAAAAATATATTAGTCCCATCAAGCTCAAAACAAGTGTTTCTGTGAACATACAGGTGTTTCTCTAACCTGCAGTGAAGGTCTGCACCTCCCAGGTCTTCAGCAGACACCTCTTCTCCTGTAGCAGCTTTTACCTGTTGAATACAGAGTGGGACATTTACCATTGATGAACATAAGCAGAGTGCCAAAACATGCCCCTTAGGACATTAAAGGGTTAGTTCACCCAAAAATGAAAAATCTGTCATTAATTACTCACCCTCGTGTTGTTCCAAACCCGCAAGACCTTCGTTCATCTTCGCAAAACACTTTAAGATATTTTTGATTAAATATGAGGGCTCTCTGACCCTCCCATAGACAGCAAGGTAATTACTACGTTCAAGGAACAGAAAAGTACCAAGATGATCGACAAAGTAGGTTCAACTGTAAAGTTACGAAGCATCACTTGTGGACGCGTGTTCACGACAGTACCATGATGCGAGCGTGTGGCGGCACTGACCCAGATCTGGCAAAATGACGTCATCATATTCTCGTAGCTTCGTAACTTTACAGTTGAACCACTGATGTCACACGGACTACTTTGTCGATCATCTTGGTACTTTTCTGGACCTTGAACGTGGTAGTTACCTTGCTGTCTATGGGAGGGTCAGAGAGCCCTCATATTTCATCTAAAATATCTTAAATTGTGTTCTGAAGATGAACAAAGGTCTTACGGGTTTGGAACAACACGAGGGTGAGTAATTAATGACAGAATTTTCATTTTTGGGTTAACTAACCCTTTAACACATACCAGCGGTGGTCCACCCAGAAAAATGGTCCCTTGTTTGCGTACTATGACGCTCTCATCAGCCATCGCAGGCACATAGGCGCCCCCTGCTGTACAGGAGCCCATCACAACAGCAATCTGAAACATATCAAGTACAGTTGATCCACCATGATGAATCAGCTCCCTTTGAGATGATTACAAGCAAAGCCATATGTCTTTACATATGTCATACATCTTGACTTGTTTTTAGTAAAAAAAAATTTTTTTAAGTAATATTAAGATATCTGATGTCACCTTAAAATTTTGCTGGGCTCCCCTGGTTAGGAACCACTGGCGTATATGAAAACAAAATGACCTGTGCAATGCCCTCCGAGGAAAGGCGAGCCTGGTTGAAGAAGATGCGTCCAAAGTGATCTCTGTCTGGGAACACATCTGCCTGTCTGGGTAAATTGGCTCCTCCAGAATCCACTAGAGAAAAACAGATCAGAGATAAAAGTATTAGTAGGAAAATGTTATTTTACACAGAATATGAACCCTCTGAGAGAACCCACCCAGATATATGCACGGTAGATGGTTTTGCTGTGCAATCTCTTGGGCACGCAAGTGCTTCTTCACAGTGACCGGATAATAGGTTCCACCTTTGACAGTAGCATCATTCACAACTATAATACATTCCACCCTGTGAGGTGCACAGACATGGTGTAATGAACTATAAACTTCTGTAGGTTATTAACAGATGTAACAATGCATATAGTATGCTGCTCACCCTGACACCCGACCAATACCAGTGATTATGCCTCCCGCAGGAACCTCCTCACTACCATATAACTGATAGCCAGCAAACTGGGAGAACTCAAGAAATGGAGACCTGCATTCACACAAAGAAAAAGAGTTCAGTGTGAATGGACAGCAACATTTCAATCACAACATTTTAATTGTTTGTTTATAAAAATGACTTTGTTCTTACCCAGGGTCCAACAGTCTGTCGATGCGTTCCCGAGGCAGGAGCTTTCCTCTGGATGTGTGTAGGTTTCTTGCTTTTTCTCCACCTCCTTTGAAAGTGGCAATATTGTGTAAACATGAGTGTCAGGAAAAGTGCTAATGCTGCCACAAAAGTGTAAAATTCATTCACTGTGTTTAGGAATATCAAATTAAATGCTTTGTACTCGCTCACCGAGTTTGATCTTTTCTGCTCTGTCCTTCAACTCCTTCACCAGCACTTGCATTTGATCATAATTTTCCTACAATATGAAAGATTACTGGATGGTCAACAACCATATTCAAAGTTTATTATTATAAAAACAACTAGCCCCAGACTAAAGTCCTAAATATGGTTCAATCAAGCCTCACCAGACTCAGACAGTTTATGCAGACCAAAAATGTTTTTTTATAATTGTATATTACACATATATTGTATATTACACATGTACCAAGAGCAGTAACAATTTCCTTTGCTAAGCCTGTGTGACCTTGGCAAACTTACAGCAGGTGAAATATGAAGATAACTGACTTTAATATTGTTTTCAAATTCGGTGTTGGCAAAAAGCAGGGGTACCTAACAAAAGAGGTAGGCCTATATTTTTCAAATGAAACTTTTGCATCTTATAGTAAAAAGTAGTCATGTTTATTTTAAACATTCTTATTTTCTCTCTCACACATGTATATGAAATATTAAGATGTGCTCTTAAAATACATATTTCTGTTTTGAATGCTAATCACTGATCTATAATAGAGAACATTATATAGATCAGTGATGCTAATAATCCAATAATCAACATATTTGATAAAGAGAAAATATAAACGTAGATCAAAAGGTAATTTGTGTTAAACCCTTGTAGTGGTCATATTTGATTGAAAATTTTAAAACTGGGACCGTTTTAAAAACATATTTTGCCTGGACGTCTCAATTATCAGCGACAGGTTAGTGCAGGGTGCAAACAAGTTTCCTCGTCTAATGTATGTGTATTATATTTGAGCTATTTCACATGTCTCTTTAAATACTGACGCAGGCATGAATATTTAAGAGAAGGTACATTTTTTCACGGTTGTTGTAGCAGTTGTGTTGTGCATGTAGTGCACAAGGACACATGTACGGCTGCCGAAGCAGATGAACCCCCACTGCCGGCTGACTGCAAGAGCTTGAGTCCGAGGCTTCATTCGCGGCCTAAGTTACCTGAAAGACCGGAGACTGCGAATCGGGCTGCGAGCCCACTGTTGCCACTTTGTCCGCATGATATAACCTGGAAACTGCAGCATTTACACTCCTGCTCCGAATGAGGGAACCCACCGGTCTAACATAGTGCAGAAACATGGTTCATCCTCTAACTGACAGGTCTAAGGACGAACTCAACATGCAACGTCCCCTGACCTCACCGCTTAGGGCGGACAGCAAACGGTTAACGTTGAAGTTTAGCTCCCGTTTCCTTAGCCAATGAAAACTACTGGATTTGTAACAGCCCCTTTTCCCCATGAAGTAATAATCTATTCCGAATGCTTTCCGTTTGCTATGGACAGCACTTTATTATTGATTTTCGCTATTAAAAATCTTGTTAGAGAGAATTTTACGATCTGCAACTTTTTGTAATAAGAATTTAACCGAATTGCAGATGTAGCAGGTGTGCATTTAGAATATTTTGTGATTCAACTTGTGTAGTTTTACTAAATATTACTGATCTCAATAACCTGAGTTATGACTCTTGATGCTGTTATTTTGTCAAAACCACCATTACAGTTTAACTAAATATTTAATTTTACAAAACTGTCCATCATATGCTAAAAACGGTAACACTCCTTAAGATTAGTTGGAAAAATGTGTTCAATTTAAATCTCTCTCTTCTTCTTTTTCTTCTTCTTTTTTGGTCATTTAGATTTCCCTATTTAAGTGCACTGTATTTTCTGAGAAAGAAATTCCATCTTAAACAAAAAAATTAAATAAAAATTAAGTTGGAAAAAGTGAATATTCATTTATTTACTTATAATTTCTCCAGTGCTGTAATATCCAGACTGTACCACAAATTGCAAATACAACTGACAATATCTAATAATTCATGAAAATTCTTTATAATAAATTCTCACTGGAGAAAGGTATTATAACCCACAAAAAGGGCTTTGCTCTCAGAAAGAAAAACAAATGAAAGTAACATACAGTAACCATAAAGACAAATATATTTGCACTGAACAAAACAAGATCAGTCAGTAAAAAACACACTGATAAAAGTGGTGCGTTGTTCAACATTAAATAAATAGAAATAAATAACTGAGCTGTGACAACCTGTATCACTGCATGTCTCATCACCAAAAAAGGGCAAAGGCCTCATAACAGAAATGTATATGTGTATATATATATATATATGTTTTCCCTTCATGAACAAAATTTATTTAGATAAACTGTATTACAATTACTAACAATTCTCTAACAGGTCTATAATTAGCAGTGTAACAGTGTTACACCTCGTCCACTTTAGTGCAATGAACAGGAACAGCAGCAGTGAAATTTAACTATCAAATAAAAATCAATCCGGATCCACAACTTCAGTGAAGATGTCATCCAGTAAGAAGTGGGACACTTGATCAGGATTCTTATCAGCATCTAAACTGGAGACAGGAGGGCTGTTTTGAGGAGACTGCACAACAGAGGATGTAGCATTAATGAAAACGACTAATATAAAAATGGTCATCAATTCAAAGCTAACAAGTCCTTATCTAACAATAAGGTCAAATGTGACCTTATTGAAATTTTTTGAAATTGAGATTTATACATCATCTGAAAGCTGAATAGATAAGATTTCCATTGATGTATGGTTTGTTAGGATAGGACAATATTTGGCAACTATTTGAAAATCTGGAATCTGAGGGTGCTAAGAAAATTGCATTTAAAGTTGTCCAAATGAAGTTCTTAATGCATATTACTAATCAAAAATTAAATTTAAATATATTTACAGTAGGAAATTTATAAAATATCTTCATGGAACATGATCTTTACTTAATATCCTAATGATTTTTGGCATAAAAGAAAAATAGCTCATTTTGACCCAAACAATGCATTGTTTTAATTTATTGAGATGCACCTGTATACCCGTGCTACTTATGACTGGTTTTGTGGTCCAGGGTCACAAATAATGTACATAATGCAATGATTTGATTGTAGATGACAGCATGTACCTGATGATCTGCCTGTGTTCGGGAGGGCGTGGTGGACACGCTAGCTGGGGACGAAGTAGGTGTAGAAATGTTCTCATCAGTAGCTGTTAATGGTATATGATGAAGAACAACCCTTGGCGAGTATCCTGGCGGCAAGGGTGGCTCCTCATCGGCATGTGATTCTAAACCAGAGCTTCTGCTTCCACGCAAAGCCAGAGATGCCTTGTCCATCTCATTCCTAAGAATACAAACATATGTTTTTACTGTGAACAGCACTAACTATTCTGATTTCGACAATCTGAAAAGAATTACATACCATGTCATTGGCATGAAATGGAAAACATCCTTACCCTCTAGAAGTGGGTTTTACAGTGACAGGCGTGCTGTGATGCTTTGGTTGCAGGACACTTTGAGCACTGCAGATTTCCTTTACAGATAACATTTCTAGCTGTACCCGGTATGCACTTGAGATCTCTCCTTTTTTTTTGACTTGTTGGAGTTCCCATGGACTCTTTCACTTTTGATGTCGGAGTTCGCTGAGGTGTTGTTGGGGCAGCTTGGGTTGACTTCAGCATATGAGGTTGATATTTAAGGCGTCTTTCAGGTGACCTTAGTGTCATCTGAAATGTACCTTTTTGAGAGAAATCAGAAAAAATAAATCAATATTACAAAAAAATAATGGAGACAAAGATTAATAACAGTCTGAGATGAGGAATGACTAACTTCTTGCTGGTGATTTTTTTGCTTGTGATGCTGGCAGACTCTCATTTGACTTTGTCATGTCAGAAGTAGTGTCTAATTGGTGTACCTACACTTATTTATCTAACACACACACTCAGTCTACATTTCAATTTGCACATAATATACCTGTACATACAACTGTCTATTGTTATATACCTGTACATACAATTGTCGATTTGTATATTTTTATTCCTTATTTACTTGTTCTATTTTTCTATTTTTTATTATCTGTGTTTTTGTTCTGTCACTGTCATTCTGTTACACTGTGGAGCTTCTGTCATGAAAACAAATTCCTCGTATGTGTAAACATACCTGGCAATAAAAACTCATTCTGATTCTGATTCTGATTCTATACAACAGATTTTTGCATTGTCATTTGCACCTTGTTTAAAGTTTTATAAAGATTAATCTCGAAAAACCTGTCCAGGTCACATTTCACTCCAAAAATTAATAAATAAATATTTTGTTCATTTTACTCCCTTGTTATATATATTTTTTAAATAAATAATTTTATTTGATTATTTTTTAAATAATTTAAATGAACATTTTTGAAGGCTTTTTTTGGCCGTCTCAGTGATCAACCGTAAAACAGTGATTCTGTCCTAATTCCCTTGCATATTAATGGTGGAGTTCCCTTTAAAATCTTAAATGATTCCCTTTGAGCTAAATTATTATCACTGTTTCCCTTACATTATATATAAAATGTGATCTAGACACTTTTTCATGAGACTTATCCATATAAAATCAATTGTTATGAACTACAGCTAAATGCTTCTTAAAATAGCATACATCACTTGAAATGTCAGAGGGTGTCTTCTCACTCTTTGTCGGACTAAGCGTGATTTGCTCATGCTTATGAGGACTGCTTAAGACAAACACTTTCAGCTCTGTGCTGTTCTCTCCAGTCTCTTCAGAAACGGACACAAATGCATCTGACAGCAACATGTGGGAAACTCCTTCACACCAGTTCTCCATCTCATCTGAGTCCATGGGCAGCATATTGCTTTTGAGAGACCATTCTGCAGCTTGAGGGTCCAGGGACTGCTGAGGTGTAGCTAAAGAGGTCCGTGTAGAGCTGGGCGGGCAGAGGTCATTTTCTGAAGGATCATCTTTTCTTTTTGACAATTTAGGCATTGGATGCAGTGTGCCTTGAAAAATAGATTCAATATTGATTGAAAGCATGAAATTAGAAGCAAATCCAAAATCGTCTGCTTAAATAATAAATGTATGTTAATAGACGCTTAAATTTGACAAAAAAATACATGTTAAAGCAGCACTATATAACTTTTTCTGTGTTCAAAATTGGCAAAATGTATATAATGAGCGAGTACATCATGAATTCCTCTTCCAAACCGCGTTTTTGTCTTATGATAAGTATACCGTAGTTATTCGGAATAAGTAGTTATATTTGGACTATTGTAGCCTGGTTGTGTCGTCACCGCTGCGGAGTAACACATACCTGCGTGAATCGCCATAGACATAAACTTAGAGAAGTAGCTCCGGTTGGAAAGTTCTTCCACGGGATGTGTGCAGTTCTGTTTATTAATACATAGTGCTGCTTTAAAAAAAAACATGGTTTAGAGTTTTTTTCTGGATCTGTCGCTCCCAATGAAAAGGCAAAAATAATTTTAAATTTGTTTCATTTTCAACTTAAACTGCTATTATGATAAAAAAATTAAAAAAAAATGTGTATATATATATATACTGTATATATATATATATATATACACACACACACACACTTTCGTATAGGGACCAATTCCCACTATAACTAGTTGTTTATTAGCATGCCTATTATTAACATATTGGGTATTTATTAATACTTATAAAGCACATATTCTGCATGACCATATTCTACATCCTTAATCCTACAAAATATCTAAACTTAACAACACTAACTATAAATAAGCAGCAAATTAGGAGTTTATTGAAGCAAAAGTCGTAGTTAATGGTTTGTTAATAGCGAGAATTGGACCTTAAAATAAAGTGTGACAATTCTTTTGCTTTATATTATTATTTTATGCATTCTTACCTCTCCTACAGCAAGGTGCTTTCCATTCCACTGCCACAGACTGACTTGAGCTCATCTCTTCCGTTTCAGTATTTGTTGGTCTCTCAATATCGGTTGACTTCTCAGCCTGTGGCAGGTAAAACGATTTATATTTTTGCTGAATTTTTTATTAGGATAAAAAGTACTCAAGTGATCAATGACCTTTCAAAATACAGAAACATACTTTGACTGCATCTTCTTGAAGACCAGCAGATAAGGCCTCTTTGTGAAGGCTGCATTCAGCGGTCTCATCCAATACAGGCACCAAAATATCAGACAGCACAATGTGTGAAACACCCCCAGATGCTTCCTCATGGTCCTCCGAGCCAGTGGGCAGCAAGTCAGCACTATTACAGAAAGACCAACCCATTAGTAAGTAATGTGACATTTTGGTGAAAATGTCAAATGTACAGATCAGAGGATAAAGTCATTCATACCATGTCTCAGCACTACATTGTGTTGACTCCGACATTAAGATTGACAGAGGAACGG